AAGTGCTAAAATAAAATTTAAAATGCAATATTCATGTACATTTTTGTACTGGTATACAAATGAGGTAACTATATACAAAAGGGAAGTTACTGTATTCATTAAATGGTAAGGAATATTTTAACAGGTTATTAAATTTTAGTATTTATAATTTCTTTTGAATTTTATTCATTTTTTTATTTTTGTTAATATTTCTGATATAAATCTTTTAAATTGGGATTGTTTAGAAGATAATAGCTCAATACACACTATACTAGACGTTACGTGTATAGTCAGGTATAAAACATGTACATGTATATACATGTAAATCTATATCGATTATCGGCTCGCTAAACTATATAGTGGGTATATGGTATCATTTTCTATATCGTGTAAATTTAAATAGAATATGTATGCATAATTTAAACTGCTTGATGGAAAACATTTAATTATGGCTGTTCTTTCTGTGATATTTCGTAAAAATATACCTTTAAAGACGAGGATTTTGTTGTGCAGCCGAAAAATGATAAAATTCATTTAAAAAAAAAAAGAATAAATATGCATGATGATTTTCTTTTAAACACAAATATTTATATATATAATCATTTTCTAAAAGGTCATATTTTTAAAAATATGACCTTTTAGAAAATGATTATATATATAAATATTTGTGTTTAAAAGAAAATCATCATGCATATTTATTCTTTTTTTTTTTAAATGAATTTTATCATTTTTCGGCTGCACAACACTTCTCCCTCCTTTAAGACTATTTCACTCCTGTGAAATGAAGCATAAATACTATTTTACAAAAATAAATATCATTAAATCAGAATACTGTAAGAAGAACAACAATGAGTTTCACATATGGAATACCATTCAGAAGTGAAAAATCATGTGGACAATGTGGACTTTATCATAATAACAGACAGGAGAAGTGTTGTGCAAAAATGGCAAGATGCAACAAATGTAATAGAATTGGACATTTTGCACGAGTTTGTCTACGTCCAGCAGTTAGGCAAAAGTCAAACCACTCAAAACTACGCGATCAGGAACGCATGACAACTTTCATCAGACGCAAGACAGCCGAATGCACATTACCATTTTACAATGAAGATGATGCCTACTTTAAAAAGAACCAAACAAACAACTCCGTAAGTAATGTTTCAACAGCAGAATTTCAGACGTTGAAATCTTTGACCGATTCAATGACTAAAACTATTAACGGTTTAAAAGCAGAAAATATGGCCCTTGTTTTAAAAAATCAAAGACTTAAGGATTTTAATGAAAAACTACAGGATGAGGTTTCCATAAAGAAATTAGAAATAAGTCAACTTAAAGAAACATTTTTTCAAAACAACAACTCGCTAAAGGAAAAAATTCGGACTGACTCTTCAAAACTAGAGAAAATGGACAAACTTATATTAGAATTTAAGAAACTAAATGACGACTATGAACAACTGAGATTGAAGCACAACCAGAAAGCCTATGAAATTATGATGATGGAATCAAGAAAAAACGATCAAATAGATGACTTGAAAGATGAAAACCACACTTTGAAAGATGAAATTGCCCAGTTGAAAGACAAAACTAAATATCTATGTCGAAAAAGAGGAAACAGAAATCAAGATCTTTCAAGTACATGCGAAACCGGGTTCCCACATGAATGGAGAGGTCAATATCATCATGGAAGACAACAAGGACAGAGGGGACAATACAACAGAAATAGACGTCATTAAGACTGTGTTGTTTACAATAAGACAGTGATTAGGATATATATTATTAGTGAATGGTACTTACGCTTTTCAGCAAAATCGGTGCTTTATATTCAAGTACATGTATATATTTCTGTAACTGAATATCTTATGTAAACAGTATTCTGATTTAATGATATTTATTTTTGTAAAATAGTATTTATGCTTCATTTCACAGGAGTGAAATAGTCTTAAAGGAGGGAGAAGTGTTGTGCAGCCGAAAAATGATAAAATTCATTTAAAAAAAAAAAGAATAAATATGCATGATGATTTTCTTTTAAACACAAATATTTATATATATAATCATTTTCTAAAAGGTCATATTTTTAAAACAAAATTTGTGAAATTTCAAATATGTTAAGTTACAAATTGTATATGTTTCAATAACAGATGTCAAATTTAAAATTATGTAACTGGAAGATTAAAATGCGGCTTTTCCTCTTTGTCCAATCAACTGTGCTAAAAGTTTTATAATATATAGGTGATAAGGTCAATTAAGCTGTCTGTACTTATCATGTTGTTAAACCTTATGACTGATAAAATATCCAGGTGATGATTGTTGTTATAAATTCTATGTTGCTATGTTACCTTATTTTGTATTGAAACCTGATTGGTCATTTTGTTATTTAAGACACAAAAATGTTAAAATTCTATTGGTCAGTTAAAACGAAATCAATTTTAGAATTATTGTAAAGATACATGTAGAAAATTTAGGGTCAGTTAGATTTTGGATTTCCAAGTGATAACATTGTATTGTGGCTTTCCACTAGAAATAATTGTTGCTGTTTTTAATATCAATTTGTTGACATCCGGATAACCTGTGTATATGTTATATATTATCTGTGGTATTCCACTAAGAAAGAAACATTAAAATATAAAACGGAACATTGTGTTGTGATTCAATCCACCTTGAGTAGAACTAATAATTCAGCGCATAACAATTTACGGTGCATTAAATATAATAAGTATTATTTACGTTATAGGAATAACTTCATCGACAACTTTTACAACATTGTTTTACGTTGTACCACTGTCTTACAACGGGAATAATGGTTTGATTCTAGTTCATAGAATACTTATATGTTACGTCATTGGCATGGTGATTTCACACTACACAACGTGCATAATTAAAGGAGTAAATAACAAACCGAAAGTATGTGAAATGAAATTCAATATGGCCGATGCACAAATTTTTCCGAATGAAAATATTAATGGGCTGCATAAAAGATTGAATGTATGTACGGAAAACTCAGGAAATATTGATTTAAACATTATGGAGCATTACGGCTATTGTAGGACGTGTGAAGAGGTGGTTCCACCACGAACACACCATTGTTTTCTGTGTGAAACTTGTATCGTTAAAAGAGACCATCATTGCTTCTTCATGGGGACATGTATAGGAAGGGAAAATCAACAGTGTTTCATATTTTTCTGCGTGTTCATGGGCATGGCAACAATGTATGGATTTATTCTTATATTGCATCATTTTCACATATATTTTAGTGTTGGAATTTACGGACCACATTCGGTTTTGATATTCTTCACTGACACTATAGATTCTCTACACAAGGGGAAGACACGATCCACATACTTCCTTGGAATATTTATTCAGATGTATTCGTGTTTAGCAGCGACAGTTTTCACATTTTGGTTTCTGTATAAACAAGTATATAATGCTAGCAGGGGCCAGACGCCGTACGAGGCAAAATGTGGAATATCTATATATTCGAAGGGAAGTTATAAACAAAACTTCCGAGATGTCTTTGATAAAAAATGGTTTATGTCAATGGTAGTACCTGGATTTGAGCTATATAAAAACTAATTATATTTTTGTGATTGAACAATAAACCATATGGTCATTCTAAATTGAACAATAAACCATATGGTCATTCTTAAATAGCATTTTTAAGAAAGTATCATATGATATTTCCTGTGTTGATATTAAAACAAGACAAAAACAGAATAATAGAAGTTGTTATTGCCACTAACTTTTCCCATTCAGTATTATTACATAACAAACCTGACAAGAGCCAAGCAGGATTTGTTTTGTTTTTATCTAAAGGGGACTGATGCCATGAAAACCCATAACAAGAGGGCCATGATGGCCCTAAAATCGCTCATGTGAGCCAAAGCCAATTTTAAACCAGGGGCTTTTATTTGAACAAACTTGGTAGACACCCATTAGAAGATTTTTCATGATGAATATCTAAACTCTAGCTCTTTGGGTCTTTATAAGAAGTTCTTTTTAAGTTTTTACTATACACATATAAGGAAAGTCAATGACCGCTGGGTCGGGGCCAATTTTAGCCCAAGGGCCCTTATTTGAACAAACGTGGTAGACACCCATTAGAAGATGTTTCATGCTAAATATCTTAGCTCTAACTCTTTGGGGTTTTTAAAAGAAGATTTTTAAAGTTTTTACTATATACATATAAAGGGAAAAACAATGACCCCTGTGGCGGTGCCAATTTTTACGTCAGGACTTTTATTTGAACAAACATGGCAGACACCAACTAGAGGATGTTTCATGCTTTATATCTAAACTCTAGCTGTTTTAGGTTATTAAAAGAAGGTTTTTTAAGTTTTTACTTATATACCAATAAGGAAAATCAATGACCCCCTGGGGCGGGGCCAATTTTTATCCCAGGGCTTTTATTTGAACAAACTTGGTAGAAACCCACTAGAAGATGTTTCATGCTTAATATCTGAGCTCTAGCTATTTGGGTTTTTTAAAAGAAGATTTTTTAAAGTTTTTACTATAACATGTATAAACAAATAAGGAAAATCAATGACCCCCCGGGTGGGGCCAATTTTGACCCAAGGGCATTTATTTGAACAAACTTGGTAGACACTGACTAGATGATGTTTCGTGCCAAATATTTTAGCTCTAGCTCTTTCGGTTTCTAAAGGAAGATATTTTAAGTTTTTTCTTTCGGTTGCCATGGCAACCCGAGTTCTGCTTGGAATTAAATTCTTTGAACAATTTTTAAAGTTGACTACCAAAGGAACATTCCTGTGAAGTTTGGATGAAATTGGCTCAGCGTTTTATAAGGAGATGTTGTTAAAAGTAAACATTTACAGACGGACGGGTGCAAAGCAATCACAAAAGCTCACCATGTCACTTTTTGACAGGTGAGCTAAAAAGTCATTTCAATATGACCCAGACATGGTGTGATGTTGCAAGTCTTCAGAAGTTGTGGGGAAAGAACTTGTACCAGGAACTTTTAATTACATGTACATTCAAAAAGAGACATAATGCATCAATATGTTTTGTATAAGTAGTATTTATTCAGCATTTTTACATGTAATACATTGCATATAGTACATCTAATTACAATAGCACATTACATACATGTAAATTAAAAACACAACAAATACCCGGTATTTTGCACATATAAATAGGAATGTATGTAGAATAAACATTCCAGAAATAAATAATAAAGTATCACAGCTGTGCTAATTTATTTTATTATTATTACTTAATTATTTGAGCATAACATTTAAATGGTCCATCCACAAATGAATAGAATTAAATTTGCATGCAGCACCTTGTGGTATTCTAAAATAGCTATATAAATCATGGTCTCAAGGTTAAAAGGGGTCAATTACTTAACATGGTCACTTTTATAATATAAGGTAATGTTTTCTGATCTAGTATCACTATTCAATCTTATGAGAACCTCGGAAACCCAGTGGGAAAAACACTTACATTTAAAATACATAAATATTTCAAGTTAATTAAATATGCATACTTCTGTTATTTATAAAATTTCTTGCTGATAAAATCAAATCTTATCTCTGATATGTACGGGTTGCCTTACAACAATTATAATGAAAGACAATGTAGTCTGTAGTTAAATCATACTGATGCACATTTAAATTAGAATCACCACAGATTGATTTTACACCCTAAAATTTCAAACATGTTAAAAAGAGTGTTTTATCTATGTCATGTAGAAAATTCATAACAGGACATTGAATTCATACATTGAGTCAAGTAACAGTTAGTGTGCAATTTGTTATAAATCAAAGACATGTTTTAAGAAAATAAACATTAAACATACAATGGTGAAGGTATGTAAGTGTATATAAAAGTAAACTAGTACATGTATATGATTTAGCATACATGTACAACACAGATACTGCCTTGTTTTATAGTATCAGACTCAAATGTGTCTCCAAATTTAGTATTCTCAAACCTTTTCTTCTTCAATAGCCAATCATTTAGTGGTTTAGGTAGAATGGTCCATTTATCTGATGGCCAATGAATATACACAGTTTGTAGACACAGTCTGAAAATAGATTAAACATGATTTAAATTAACTCCTTCCCTTCCAGCAAGATGGGTATACCCGTCCTACAACAGGATACAATATTACCCCTTTCCCTTCAACAAGATGCAACATTACCCATTTCCCTGCCAGCAAGATGGGTAAACCTGTCCTACAAAAAGATACGATGTTTCCCCTTTCCCTGCCAGCAAGATGGGTATACCAGTCCTACAAGATACGACTTTCCTTTTCCTTGCCAGCAAGATGGGTATGCCGGTCCCAAAACAAGAGATGACATTACCCCTTTCCCTGCCTAAACAAGATGAGTATAAGTCCGGTCCTACAACAAAATACGACGTTACCCCTTTCCCAGCAAGCAAAATGGGTATACCGGTCCTACAACAAGAAACAATATTACCCCTGTCCCTGCCTCCAAGATGGGTATACCCGTCCTACAACTAGATACGATGTTACCCCTTTCCCAGCCAGCAAGATGGTATATCTGTTCGACAGCAAGTACACTACATAACCCCTGTCACTGCCAGAAAATTTGTTTACCTTTGTTATTAATTAGGTTTTAAGTCGCACCTACTCTGAAATGGTTATATGGCGACTTTCCAGCTTTACTGGTCCGGAAGAAAATCTACATAGGTGCCGTTTCATTGCATGTTTTTTCAGGAACAAGCAGGTACCTGAGGAAAACCACTTTAGTTTTGTGAGCTGTCTGATTAGCTTTCTTGCAAAGAAGAATCTTAAGTCCCTAGCCATCAAAAAAAAATCCTTTCCCTGCCAGTTACCTTGATAAATCCATACTAGAACTAAAACTGGCCACATTATGGATATCCCAATCAAGAACAATGTACTTATAACTAGTGATGTTCCGATTGTCGCAAGTAGCCGATGATCAGTTAATGTTATGTAAAACGACAATAATCGATTCACAAAAATTTGTTCCGCGACATCGTCGAAAATGTTTAAAGTATCAAAGGGAATTAATTCTGACGGTAATTTTCTTTTAGGAACACCTCGCCGATCGCAAAAAATCACTCCGAGACAATTTGGAGTTGAACAGGATCAATAAGTAATAAAATGTGATGTGAATGTTCTTATTCGACATCCATTGAAAAATAAAATCTACTTCGTAAAATTATGACTATATTAGGTAAAAACTGTGTTATAAAGTGTTAAATGAAGTTCATGTTACTAAATATAATCAAGTCCCTTGGTAAGAAATGTTAATTCCCTATTTCTTTTTAATGCGACTTTATTCGAAAGTTATCAATTATGTCCCATCCGACCGAACCGATGATCGATTGGGACATTGAATTTCATCCGATTTCCATCACTACTTATAGCTAACTCTGTCCCTGCCAGCAAAATTAAAAATCCTATTTCTATCCAACACATAAAACAAGTTCTATTTGCTTAAAGGATAAATCTGTTTACTGGGATTATATGAAAAAGTTAATAGAATTTGTTGATCTTTCTTCTACATTTAATTTAAGGTTTTGAAATGAATTGTTACTTTTTTTTTAACTTTCCTAATTTCTTCCTAAAAGTGAAAGAGTCATAAATCTAAAATAACTTTACTGAGGTCCAAAAGCCTTAAAACATAAAATTTGAATTTCTTGCATTGATCAACAGGGGCAGTAAAACAGAAAGATATGCAAAAGATAATATAGAAATCTAAATTATGCATAATTTAATTGAAAATCATATTTTTTGCAATCTGTAGACCAATTTGAGTTATAAGCATCTGTACTTGAGGTATCCTGCTGAAATTAACAATTCAAAAAGAATATGTGCTTTAAAGGGTCATAGCGCTGTAAGTAATAATTTGATTGCAGCTAAAATCAAACTTAGGTTGTGTATTAATATATTATTCTTTTAAGCCAAATATAAACACAATCATTGAAATCCTTCAGAAGTTATCCTATGGAAGCCAATAATTCAACAAAACATCCCATGGAAACCAATAATTCTACAAAACATCCCATGGAAACCAATAATTCCACAAAACATTCCACCAGGAAACCAATAATTCCACAAAACATCCTATGGAAACCAATAATTCAACAAAACATCCCATGGAAACCAATAATTCCAAAAAATATCCCATGGAAACCAATAATTCCACAAAACATCCTATGGAAACCAATAATTCCACAAAACATCCCACGGAAACCAATAATTCCACACAACATCCCATGGAAACCAATAATTCCACACAACATCCCATGGAAACCAATAATTCCACACAACATCCCATGGAAACCAATAATTCCACACAACATCCCATGGAAACCAATAATTCCACAAAACATCCCATGGAAACCAATAATTCCACAAAACATCCCATGGAAACCAATAATTCCACAAAACATCCTATGGAAACCAATAATTCCACAAAACATCCCATGGAAACCAATAATTCCACAAAACATCCTATGGAAACCAATAATTCCACACAACATCCCATGGAAACCAATAATTCCACAAAACATCCCACGGAAACCAATAATTCCACACAACATCCCATGGAAACCAATAATTCCACAAAACATCCCACGGAAACCAATAATTCCACACAACATCCCACGGAAACCAATAATTCCACACAACATCCCATGGAAACCAATAATTCCACACAACATCCCATGGAAACCAATAATTCCACACAACATCCCATGGAAACCAATAATTCCACAAAACATCCCATTGAAACCAATGATTCCATAAAACTTTTGCCTGAAAAGGGACATAGCTCTTTCATTAATTATTTGATTGTAACTAAAGTCGAAATTAACCTGTACTCTTTTTTTTGGGGGGGGGGGGGTAGGTTTAGAGTTCCACTGATACAACATTTTGAGACATCTTGCAGTAAATATTGCCAATTGATGACATTGTAAAATAAATTGCATTGTTTTCAGTTTTAAATTCGTTACATAAGCTTATGTTTCAGATTTTTTTGGTTGTCTCTAGACATTTTTAAACAGAACTTTACCCTGGTTAATAATATTCCTTTGTGTGAAATAAGTCTATAAATACCAGTAAAACCTAAGCATATATGCTGAGATTATTTATCTGGGTTAAATACTATTATAGTTTATAATAAAAAAAAAACCTTAAAATACTTTTTCCATGTTTCATTTCAAAGTGAGGGTATCATCAACAGTGTTTAAAATGAATTGTGAGGAACAGATTACTGTAACCCAATTTATATTCGCGAATACAAATTTTCGCGTTTTGCTGAGGTCTGACATATTCGCGAATATTAATTTCCGCGTTTTCTTGATTTCAGAATAAAACATATTCGCGTATTGGAAAGTCCGATACGGGCGTCAAATCCATAAGCCGACTATTAATCTTCAATAATTGAGGTCATTATTGGTGTCTTAAATTGGATTAACAATACGCTAGCCTTATATTGTATTGGTAAGTGAATTGTAATCACAATTCAGCAAAACATTTTCTCTATATATCTAAACATGTCGTTAAAAGGGTGGTTGATAAAAAATAAACCCTCAGAATGCAGGGATGTTTCGGCATCGTTTTTGCCTGATCATGATCTGGAAAGCACATCAGAAAAGAAAAAAAAATGATTAAAGCGGCAAACGAAGCTGTATTTGAAATTTTATCACCAAATCTCCAATCAGGTATCGAACCCACGCCGAGAAAATTATGTTATGAGTCCGCAATCTAACCAACTGAGCTATACAGGCTGTTAAGATTGACGGCTAAAAATGAAACCATCTTGTATTTCACTGTTTGTAATTATGTACACCTAATACCCTTTTGTGATGCTCGATAGGTTTATACCACCTTTGTCGTAACAATTCACTCAAACAATTATTTTATAGGATCCAAAAAACAATAGCCTTTTGTGATGCTCGACAGTTTTCCCACATTTGTCAAACGATTTATTCAAACATTTAAATATGAAGAAACTTAAAACTGACACATGCTCCGTATAGTACCCTATACGGAACGTGATTGACAATATGCCTACTAGTATTTCATAAATTGTATTTAAATGTGGATGTTTATTTTGATTGCTATATTGACATAGAGTTCTTTTGATATTTATGAAATAGTAGTAGTTTACTTAGTTTGTGTTTTTATTGCTTTATGGCAATATTCATAACAATTCATTACTTCCTAACAGGTGCCCGTAAAATTCGAATATATCCGGTCAAGTAGCTTTGCATGAACAACGTCTAAAATAAAAAATTCTCTCCAATTTATTCGCAAAATTGTGCGGACTTATTCGCGCAAACAAATATTCGCGCTTCGTGGCCATCCGCGAATAAAGCGAATATTAATTGGTCGCGAATATTCGTTGGGTTACAGTAACTGCTACAATGGCGTTGTATGTTGTACATTGTTCAGTTCAACATATGCTTAAAAACCCTGTAAATAATTTATAAAACACATATCTTACCTTTTTAAACAATGAGGTTTAAGTTGGAGAGTCAGCACTTCATTTGATGTTTTCTGAAAGAAAAATGAACCATAGTTAGAAATGGTTGGCACCCGGGTTTTTCAAATAAAAGACACTGTTGGCATGCAGGTCATACTTGTTTGTTTTTCCTTCATTTGTTCAGCAGGAATTTTGCTTACATTTTAATTCATGCAATATTTTTCAAAAAAAGGCATTAATCTCGCAATAGCCTATCCTAGGAGAGACACTATAATGTTATAAATGGTATAAAATTACACATGATTTACTTGTAAAATTGAATTATTTATGTGCATCTTTTTATGAAATAACATTTAATGTTTGTCATAAAGCCTCATACATTACAGTTATACAATACACTGTATAAGGCACAACGAAAAACTGATCAAAGGAACTGACAAGCACTGAAAAGCATCAAAATTCTTATACACAATAAGAAACAACAAGAACTGTCCTCCAAGAACTGTCGGAGGACAGTAACGCTCGACTATTCGAAAAGTTGTCACAAGTGTGTTTCATGCTTACCTATATGGTTACATAAAATTGTCCGAAAAGGTACAAAGGCTTGTTATTAGGATGTTTTATCGAGTCAATCACAGCTTTATTATTATAAAATACAACAAGAGGGCCATGATGGCCCTAGATCGCTCACCTGACTTATCAAACTCATCCAAACAATTACCTAGACAAGCATTCTGACCAAGTCTCATGACAGGTGAGTCAAAAATGTGACCACTACAGTATTAACAAGGATTATGATTATCCATATTTGAGCAGTGCGACCTAGTTTTTTTACCCAGGTGACACATATTCAAACTTGACCTAGAAATCATCAAAACAAACTTTCAGACCAATTTCCAGGATACTTGGAGCAAAACAGTAGCAACTAGAGTGTTAACAAGATTTTGCTATTTTTAGCTCGGGTGACCTAGTTTCACATGCGATTTCGAACTCATCCAAGCAATTACCTAGACAAGCATCCTGACCAAGTTTGATGATAATTAAGTTGAAAATGTGACCACTAGAATGTTAACAAGGTTTTTCCATATTTGGGCGGTGTGACCTAGTTTTTTCATCCAAGATGACCCATGTTCGATCCTTGACTTAGAAATCATCAAAACAAACTTTCAGACCAATTAACAGAATATTTGGATCACAACAGTAGCCACTAGAGTGTAAACAAGATTTTTCTATTTTTAGCTCATGTGACCTAGTTTTTCATCCGAGATGTCCCATGTTCGATTTATTCCCAGCAATGACCTAGACAAGTTTCCTGACCAAGTTTAATGACAATTGAGTCAAAATTGTGACCACTAGAGTGTTAACAAGGTTTTACTATTTTTAGCTCTGTGACCTAGTTTTTCATCTGAGATGACCCATGTTCGAACTCATCCGAGCTATCACCTAGACAAGCATCTTGATCAAGTTTGATGATGATTGATGCAAAAATGTGACCGCTAGAGTGTTAACAAGGTTTTTCTATTTTTAGCTCCTGTGACCTACTTTTTCATCCGAGATGACCCATGTTCAAACTCATCCGAGCTGTCACCTAGACAAACATCTTGACAAAGTTTGATGATGACTGATGCAAAAATGTGACCACTAGAGTGTTAACAAGGTTTTTTCTATTTCTAGCTCCGGTGACCTACTTTTTCATCCAAGATGACCCATGTTCGAACTCAATCCGAGCTATTCACCTTAGACAAGCATCTTGACCAAGTTTGATGATGATTGATGCAAAAAATGGTGACCGCTAGAGTGTTTACAAGGTTTTTCTATTTTTAGCTCGGGTGACCTACTTTTTCATCCGAGATGACCCATGTTCGAACTCATCCAAACTATCAACTAGATAAGCATCCTGACCAAGTTTGATGATGATTGATGCAAAAATGTGACCGCTAGAGTGTTAACAAGGTTTTTCTATTTATAGCTCCGGTGACCTAGTTTTTCATCCGAGATGACCCATATTCGAACTCATGCTAGCTATTATCTTAAACAAGCATCCTGACAAAGTTTGATGATGATTGGGTCAAAAATGTGACCACTAGAGTGTTCACAAGGTTTTTCTATTTCTAGCTCCTGTGACCTAGTTTTTTCATCAAGAGATGACCCATGTTCGAACTCATCCAAGCAATTGACTAGACAAGCAATCTGACCAAGTTTGATGAAGATTGGTTCAAAAATGTGACCACTAGAGTGTTCACAAGGTTTTTTCTATTTTTAGCTCCTGTGACCTAGTTTTTCATCGGAGATGACCCATGTTCGAACTCATCCGAGCTATCACCCAGACAAACATCCTGACCAAGTTTGATGATGATTGGGTCAAAAATGTGACCTCTAGAGTGTTCACAAGGTTTTTCTATTTTTAGCTCTTGTGACCTAGTTTTTCATCCGAGATGAGCCATGTTCGACCTCATCCGAGCTTTCAACTAGATAAGCATCCTGACCAAGTTTGATGATGATTGAGGCAAAAATGCGACCGCTAGAGTGTTCACAAGCAATTGTGGACGGACGGACGACGGACATTCACCGATCCTAAAAGCTCACCCTGAGCAAGCTCAGGTGAGCTAAAAATTGTTCAAAAAAAGGCACAAACCCTTCAGTAGTTATGGAGATATTTGTTAACCAAGAATTTCTAAGTAGAAAAAGGGGCATAATTATGCAAAAAAGCAAATCAGAGTTTTTGGACTTATGCCAATCATGTTAGATAATCACAGAGAACAAGTGTGTGAAGTTTCAAGCCATTCCTTTCAGTAGTTATGGAGATACCAGCTTGCACGCAAAAACGTAACCAAGAATTTCTAAGTCAAACAAGAGGGCCATGATGGCCCAAGATCACTCACCTGAATTATCAAACTCATCCAAACAATTACCTAGACAAGCATTCTGACCAAGTCTCATGACATGTGAGTCAAAAATGTGACCACTACAGTGTTAACAAGGATTATCCATATTTGAGCAGCGTTACCTAGTTTTTTACCCAGGTGACACATATTCAAACTTGACCTAGAAATCATCAAAACAAACTTTCAGACCAATTTCCAGGATACTTGGATCAAAACAGTAGCAACTAGACTGTTAACAAGATTTTTCTATTTTTAGCTCCGGTGACCTAGTTTCACATGCGATTTCGAACTCATCCAAGCAATTACCTAGACAAGCATCCTGACCAAGTTTGATGATAATTAAGTCGAAAATGTGACCACTAGAATGTTAACAAGGTTTTTCCATATTTGGGCGGTGTGACCTAGTTTTTCATCCAAGATGACCCATGTTTGATCTTGACTTAGAAATCATCAAAACAAACTTTCAGACCAATTAACAGAATATTTAGATCACAACAGTAGCCACTAGAGTGTAAACAAGATTTTTCTATTTTTAGCTCATGTGACCTGGTTTTTCATCCGAGATGTCCCATGTTCGATTTATTCCCAGCAATGACCTAGACAAGTTTCCTGACCAAGTTTGATGACCATTGAGTCAAAATTGTGACCACTGGAGTGTTAACAAGGTTTTTCTATTTTTAGCTCCTGTGACCTAGTTTTTCATCCGAGATGACCCATGTTCGAACTCATCCGAGCTATCACCTAGACAAGCATCTTGATCAAGTTTGATGATGATTGATGCAAAAATGTGACCGCTAGAGTGTTAACAAGGTTTTTCTATTTTTAGCTCCTGTGACCTACTTTTTCATCCGAGATGACCCACATTCGAATTCATTCAAGCTATCAACTAGATAAGCATCCTGACCAAGTTTGATGATGATTGATGCAAAAATGTGACCGCTAGAGTGTTAACAAGGTTTTTCTATTTATAGCTCCGGTGACCTAGTTTTTCATCCGAGATGACCCATATTCGAACTCATGCTAGCTATTATCTAAACAAGCATCCTGACAAAGTTTGATGATGATTGGGTCAAAAATGTGACCACTAGAGTGTTCACAAGGTTTTTCTATTTTTAGCTCCTGTGACCTAGTTTTTCATCAAAGATGACCCATGTTCGAACTCATCCAAGCAATTGACTAGACAAGCATTCTGACCAAGTTTGATGATGATTGGTTCAAAAATGTGACCACTAGAGTGTTCACAAGGTTTTTCTATTCATAGCTCCTGTGACCTACTTTTTCATCCGAGATGACCCATGTTCGAACTAATTTGAGCTATCACCTAGACAAACATCCTGACCAAGTTTAATGATTATTGGGTCAAAAATGTGACCTCTAGAGTGTTCACAAGGTTTTTCTATTTTTAGCTCTTGTGACCTAGTTTTTCATCCGAGATGACCCATGTTCGAACTCATCCGAGCTTTCAACTAGATAAGCATCCTGACCAAGTTTGATGATGATTGAGGCAAAAATGCGACCGCTAGAGTGTTCACAAGCAATTGTGGACGGACGACGGACATTCACCAATCCTAAAAGCTCACCCTGAGCAAGCTCAGGTGAGCTAAAAAGGGGCATAATTATGCGAAAAAGCAGATCAGAGTTATGGGACTTATTCCAATCATGTTAGATAATCACAGAAAACAAGCATGTGAAGTTTCAAGCCATTCCCTTCAGTAGTTATGGAGATACCAGCTTGCTCGCAAATACTTAACCAAGAATTTCTAAGTAGAAAAAGGGGCATTATTATGCAAAAAATCAGAGTTATGTGACTTGTGCCAATCATGTTAGATAATCACAGACAACAAGTGTGTGAAGTTTCAATCCATTCCCTTCAGTAGTTATGGAGATACCAGCTTGCATGCAAAAACTTAACCACAGGGACACCGACGCCGACAATTAAATGGGTGACTGCATTAGCTCGATTATTCTGCGAATAGTCGAGCTAAAAATGCATGAGATAATGTGATAAAGCTCAGTTCCTGAAATATCAAACAAATTTTATTCCTGACCCATGTTAACAAAGTAAAAAATTTAAAATGATTTTGATTTCGCTTTATTATTGCTTTTTGAAACTTAAATTAATCATACTAGGTTAATATATTATATTGGGACTTTCCAGCTTTAATGGTTGAGAAGACCTCTTTTCCCCC